TTATTCTGTCTGTTCCGTTTCTAAAGTACGCATAAGCGGAAATGATTTTGCACAAAAAGTGTCTTTAATAAGATAACTTTGTACATTTACATTTGTTAACGTCAAAACTGTTTTACTGCATTTTGTGACAAGAAACTTCAGGCACTGACAAAAAAAATATTTAAAAAAAACTAAAATCGTTCCTTGTTTCGATTCCTTAAAGCTGACATTGCCTAATTTTCCTTAGCATAAGACTAAAATTTTCGTTTCTAGAAGGGATATGTTTTAAAGCTTTCTTACTTATTTTGTGGTTTCTCCATAACATAATGCATATTAATGAAAATTTTGGTTCTGTCGTACTGAATAGCATAGGAATGTTTTTTTCGTTATCAGGATACCTTCAATTTCGCCAAAATTAATGCCTATTACCCTCAATAAACTAAACTAAAAGGCTATTATCCTTACTAAAAGGCATTCTCAGGATTAAATCCACTCGATGGATGAAAATAACGTGATCAAATATAGACTGAACTACCAAGTCAAATTTTGTCATTATTCTTGCATGCAACTCTTGCTAAATTCCTGAGGTAGATAGCGATGTGGTTGGGGTTTAAGGCAGGTTAGCGACCAAATTATGGTTAGGGTGAAAGGTAGAAAACACCACGTATACCCCACGTAATTCGTTTTAAGGTCAACTGTAATCGGGGGTGGGCGGGGGTACATAAACTCGTGTGTAACTATTTGAGGATAGAAAAGCCAAATGTTAATTTTATGATCTATTTGAAAGCCCATGTCGTTTTGTTGGTAAAACACTATTGGAAAAACACGATTGCTTGAAGTCCTACTCTTAATGTAATCAATGGTGCGTCAAAACACCTGGAAAATAACCCCCTGTATCATCTTTTTCAGGACATGGTAGCTTTTATTCACTTTATTACGGGCTTTAGATATTCTAAAATGCATCAAGTCCAGGTTTCGCATCTTTCGGATGAACTAAATTTTCTGTTGATGTTAATAAAAGTATGATTTCGATATTGCTAGCTCTGGTCTAAGTTCCACCTACTTTTTGAAAATCACTCATAAATCTGGTTTGCATACGAACTTTTCCTGTTAGAACACGAAACCAATCACTTTTCCTAAAAACATAGACAATGTTTCACCATTGCAAGGCATTTCTGGTTTAAAAATAAATTGTCGACATTGGCGATACGTTATCACCCATATATAGACAAAATGACTTAACTGACAAAGATAAGGAAGAATGGAATGCCAATTTCAGACTTCTTAGCCGTCATCAGCTAGTCGTGTTCGGACCACGATGGGTTAGCTAGAAGTTAAGTGTTCTAATCACTACACCATGGACTCTTTACCTTGTTCACAATATGAGCAATGGTAGATATATATGTTGCCGTAACGAGATGCCGACTCAAGCTGTTCAGTAGAGTTCTCCCCCTATTGGAGGAGGAATTCTTCTTTTAACTCATCTTTGAAACCCTTTCTGGTTTAGCTCCCTAACGGAGCGCTCAATGAATAAATTGACGGAGTTTGTTAAGTGCGTTCGGGATACATTCCTAGACCCGAATGCTTTCGATGATCAGGAAAAATACTACGAGTGAACCATTAATCCTTGAGGCTGTAGTAATTAAGTAATGTCTTGTACTCAGATCC